TTCTCACAACTGTCTCTCATGGGTAGAGATAAATAAATCTGTCCAATGTAATTACACTCACATTCTCCTTTAATAAATTTCATCTTTTTTGCTGTAACTTATCAGTTTGCTTGAAAATCTGTAAGCATTTGAAAGTACTTTTTTCTCCCGAAGTATGTGTTTTGGTACAGATTTTGACTAACACACACATTTTCACCAGGCAGTTTTCTGTAATGTAAGAATAGAATTTTAATGAAATGCACAAATCTCAGTATATTTCACTTTGGAATATATAGTTTTGGATAAAATGTTATGCGATACACATATTTTGAACACCTTCGGCCGTTGCATTAGAAAATTTTGAAAAATGCTAATATCACAGAATAACATGGTTCCAATTCAGACATAAATCTCAAGAAGTAAGAATAATTTCCCCACCATTACCCATATTTTGTCTATAATTACTTGTTATGAGATCCACTGCTACAAATTAAATTCTAATATACCATATTGTTCCTGAAGTTTGTTTAAAATATTTACAAAGTGTGAAAATGTCAAGGAGAAGGGAGGCGGAATAGGGAACTAATGGAAACATGGAGAGGGAATCCAATTAAAGCAGGAGGAGAAGACCCTGTGAAATATTTATTTATTTTATTTATTATTACATTTATGTGCCACCCCTATCCCCCAGAGGGTGGCCCTGGGCAGCTTACAGTTAAAAACCAAGACAATAAAACTATAAAAATATAAATATCACCCAGTTAAAACTCAAATAACAAATCTAGAAAAGCAATATGCAAATCAAGAAGATGGGGGAAGCAATATCAATCATCCCATGAGCCAGTTCCAGCAATACGAGCTCCCATCAGGCCCACATGCCATCCGGCATAGCCATGTTTTAGAAGAACATGAAGAATGTTGAAGGTTTGCGGTAGGATTTAAGGAATATTCTTTGAATGTTGGGACATTATTTCTAAATACAGGTAACAATAACAGCAACAACAAGAACAACAACAAAGCCTGTTTCTCCCTTAGAGCCACTTTCTAGTGCCAGAAAAGCCATTTTTAATGTTCCATTCGTTTAACTGAAATCATAACTGAATGTTAAAGGTCTCCTTATAACATTTGCTCATGTTATTGCAAAACCTTCAGTGAACTATATACAATATCTGTTACAATATTGTATATTCTTAGAAATCAAACCTTTAAACCCAGAAAGTTGAATTATGAATAAGACTGTAGAAGACAGCAGCTTTTAACCAACCTTGCCTGATCTTGGCAGACAAGCAGGGTTGGCATTTGCTAGGACATGGTTGAGACCATCTGGGAATTCCAGGGCTCTTGGTTAAGCTTGGAAGTTTTTTTAAAAATGGCCAGAAGAAGGCACCAGCAGCAATTTCTGTAATACTGCAAAGAAAACGGCATGAATGTGGTTTTTTACTTTCATCTAAAACAGAAAAAGGCCTCATGAATACAGGTAAACCTTGCTTAATGATGTTAACTGGGACTGGAATTTCTGTCGTTAAGCAATGTGGTCATAAAGCACAACATCATGTGACTATGCCACTTAGCGATGCAGTCCTACATAGTTAAGTGAATCACTGCAGATCATTAAGCGAGGACCTCACATGACCATAGCTTCAGACTTCCTGCCAATTCCCCATTGACTTTGCTTGTCAGAAGCTGGCAGGGAAGGTCACCAATCGCAATCACATGACCACAGGATGCTGTGATGGTTGGAAATCTGGGCTGGGCACTGAGTGCCCAGATCATGATCACATGACCACAGGGTGCTGCGACAGCCAAAACCTCAAGGACTGGTCATAAGTATCAGTCATTCAGCACTGTCATAAGTTTGAACGGTCACCGAACAAGTGGTTGCTAACCAAGGACCACCTGTAAGTTTGGCAGAAAGGAGTTCAAATCCCAATTACTGTCATTAAGCAGGGATTTCCGGTATTCATGACACCTTTTGTGT